TCAAGCCTTCTCTTCCATCGAATCCATCATCTCCGATTGGTTGCCCCGTTGGGACTCCACCGCAGGAGGCCAGGTGCAAGGCACCCTTGCACTTCGGACTCATTTTTCCCCCCGGGGTCTTGTGAAACACCATTGGTGAAACTTTCGCAGTCGGACGGCAGAACCAGTACGACGGCAAACCGGCTGCAGGTGTTTGCAGAATGGCGTTGATGTGCCTGGAGGCAGTTCTGTTTGTCTTGCATGAACGTTGGTCACCTTCGGTCAGATTTCGTGAAGCAGTTCTGAATTCTTGCATGGTTGCTTTATCATCATGGACTTTGCCTTTTCATGTTCGGAAGAGCAAGCCGTTTGGTGCTTTCTTTGTCGGGTCGTGCAGCAAGCGGCGATCCGATCGAACAAAAGGAGGCATGACCAAGGCAATCAAAGCACGTAAGCAACCCTTCTTGCCTTTTCGATTCGGATTCTCACCACGCTAACTTCCTGCCAGCACGCTCACCTAGAATTGGAATTGAAGGTTTCCGACAGCGTTTCTTCGGCTGACTTTGCAGCTCCATAACAGGTCTGCACACAACGGTCTGCACACAACACAACCAGCCAGGTGCGCCTTGATCAGGCATGGCGGGTCCCCTTGTGACTGCCCAATCATCGGCCGTGCTCAAGCCCAGCTATTGCTTTTTGAATGCCATTGTCTTTGGTTCGCTAAGCTGGGCAATTGCCCGAGAGCGAAGAGGCTTCGAAGGCTTCGAAGGCAAGGACGAACGGAGAGGCTTCGAAAGTGAAGACGAAGGGGCTTTGAAGGCCTTCAGCGCGAAGGGGCTTCGAAGCCCCCCTTTGAACGTTCGCCTTCGAAGGCTTCGAAGGCTTGAAGGGAATCGAAGGGAAGAGAAGAGAATTATTCTAAAAATTCCACGCCCTGTTTCTTGTTGTCCTTTGAAGCCTTAGAAGAGAAGAGTGAAGAATTATTTTAAATTCCACCCCCCTCAATTTCTTGTCCTTTGAAGGCCTGTAGAAAAGAAGAGAAGAGAAGTATTCCAAATCCACCCTCCTCAAAATCCACCCTCCTCAGTTTCTTCGAAGCCTGTAGAAGAGAAAGAAGAGAAGAGTGGAGAATTGTTTTAAATTCCACCCCCTCAATTTTTTTGTCCTTCGAAGGCCTGTAATTTCTTTTTGAAGATGAGAGAGAAGGGACTTCTTCTAAATTCCACCCCCCCGAATCTTGTTTTGTTTTTTGGATTTCATTTTTGGATTTCATTCGAAACTCAGAGAAGTGAGACTCTGAATATGCCCCCGTCTCTCACCTTCCAAGCCTTCGAAGCCCCCTTCGTCCTCACCTTCGAAGCCTTCGAAGCCCCCTTCGTCCTCACCCTTCGAACCTTCGAAGCCCCCCCCCCCTTTGTCCTCACCCGCCTTCGAAGCCCTCCCCCCTTCGTCCTCGCCGAAGCCTTCGAAGCCCCCTTCGTCCTCACCCTTCGAACCTTCGAAGCCCCCCCCCCCTTTGTCCTCACCCGCCTTCGAAGCCCTCCCCCCTTCGTCCTCGCCTTCGAAGCCTTCGAAGCCCCCTTCGTCCTCACCTTCGAAGCCTTCGAAGCCCCTTCGTCCTCACCCTTCGAAGCCTTCGAAGCCTTCGTCCTTCGAACCCTTCGAAGCCTTCGAAGCCTTGGTCCCCCCCCCCCCTTCGACCCTTCGGCTTCGAAGGCTTCGAAGGCTTCGAAGCCCCCTTCGCCGAAGGGTAACGGGATGCAGCCCCCACGCATTGATGTCTTCATACGCGAACCGCGGCAGCGCCCGCGCAAAGCAAGCTTCTCCCGCGCACTCATGCCGCGACAGTTGTTTGCAAGGGCGCAAACATTTTCGAATTCTTCATAACAGAACCACATCCCTGGCGTCAGACTTGTCATCCGTAAGAGCAGGCCAGGTAAGGTCAGTGATGGAGTTCTGCTCACCCCTCTGGGCAAGCGCTTCCTTCAGGTCCAGTTTGGGCAGCGAGAGCGGCGGCGAGATCGCCCGCCGGGTGTTGGGACCTGGTTTGTGACCCACCCTCCGCCGTCTGACCCGCTTCAGGGCTTCTATTCATCTCTGGCGCCGCAAGCTTCGCACGCAAAGGGGATCACCATCCGCCGCGCCCTGGACACGGGCCGCGGTAGGCACACCTGCAGCCTCGGCTCCACCTAAACCTCTGGCGGCGGAATTCAGGCAGCTAAGGGGTTTGGAAACCAAGCACGCACAAGTTGCGCTGGCAGGCTCTTGTCGTGCTCTTCTCTTCTGACAAACTGCTCTGCACCTCCATGGGCTATCTTTTCATCTTCCTTTTTAAGCTTCTCGTTTGCCTTCTGCTTCTGATCAAGTCTTTGCCCAGTTTGTCCAACTTTATCGTCACTGGCAGCTTGCTCGCACCAAACGCGGCAGCACGCACCTCTTTCAAGTGCTTTGAGTGTGTCCGTAATCACCTTTACTCGTCAAGCAATCCCCAATTTCTCCAACGACAATTTCAAACCCATTTTGAAACGGGTCCAATCTTGTTCCTAGAAAGTTGCACTTCAACCTTTACACCGCGGAAATTGCAGTCAAGCACTTAGCGGCAGCACACCCTCGCAGCAGTGTTACTTGGATGCCACCTCGTTTTGCAAGCAAGGTCACAAATAGCTCGACTTCTCAATGAATGGTGGTTTTGCTGCAAGATCATGGGTCCACTTTGACCTTTTGTGTGCTAATGGAAAATGTTTCTACCTTTAATTTCGGCTCTAATCTGCATGTGTTGTTTTCTTTTCTGTTACCTCTGTTTGTCTTGAGCGTGTTTTGGTGGGCAGCTCTCCTGTCTCACATATGCGAGGTGCGGCGTGGCGTTCTAGAGCCACTTGTTACGACTCGCTCGTTTCGGGAGTTCGGGGCGGACCCCTGCCGGTACTGGTAGCCTTGGCTAGCCCCTGCCGGCATTTCCTCCTTTGCGAGGGGGCTGTGATTCTCAGGCTCCGCACTTTCAGTCACTTTTCCCAGTGCGGAGGGGAGCAAGAGAATATTATGGACAGGCAAGAGAGCATGAATATGAGCGACACCAAGGCACTGGCTGTGCGACGTGTGTTCGCGTCGTGGACACTCAGCCGAGCATGCTGGGGGCCGATGACAACTATGTGAACGGCAAGTTTGCGCCAATGCTGGAGAGGAGAAGAAGAAAGCAAGAACAAAGACAAGTGGAAAAGGCGGAAAGAACAAAGGCGGAAAGCACAAGAGCAAGAAGGCGAAAAGAAAAGAAAAAACCAAGTGAAGCAAAGAGATCAAAGAAGACGAGACGTCCAAAACGACATTAAACAAAAAGTGTTTCAAGTGGCTGGACAGCAGAACGCTGCAAATAAGGAGACAGCTTTGCAACGACGTGCTTGCACGATTCGGCAAAAGCTGAATGGGGCATTGCCCATAAGACGAAGAAGGAGCTTTGTGAGGGCTACATTAGGTGTAGTTCTGTCTCACACGTTTTCACACACAAAACTCACTGCGCTACGAGTGTTTGAAAATAGTGATAAGTTTCTTTGGAAGCAACCGGATAATGGTCTGGGTCACGAACCCAGAGGGGGTAACTTCAAAGTGAGAAAGGACTTTCGAAGGGGCAACAAGTATTTTCGGCAGCCGTGATCCCCGTTTTACCTGTGTATAGCGAGTGTATTCACTTGCTGCCGTATTAGGCTCAAGGGACCACCCGATGCCTGCAAGTGGTTCCCAGGAAAAGTGACTGAAGGGTCGAATGTGTTTAGAGGTTAGAACAATGCCGGGACAGTTAAGCATACCATACACAGGTACGGTGGTTCCACCAAACCAGCTTGCATGGCGTATTGCATGTTTATCGCGTGTGGGACCCGTTACGGTTGGTTCTTCGTCATGCTGATCGTGGTTGTTTCTTGTTTGTATTCACACACATGTGGACCTTACATTGCTCGTGTGTCCTACGCCACAAAAGAGCATTGTCAGCTCGGAATGAATGTCATGTCGATTCACAGAGCTTACGATGAGTACGCAGTGAGTGGCTAGAATACAACAAAAGCTGGGATCATGCCGAAGTGGGCGATCCGTGCATGCGGTCCAGTACCTTCAGCTTCTGCGGTTGGCGGGAGGCAAGGTGACCGGAGGCGGCCGGTCTTCCTACTCGCCCCCATAGGTGCCGGGGTGCAGCCACTGCTCCGATTCCCACGTGGGGCGGTGCTGCCCTCGCGCTGGTGCATGGACTTGCCGCCTTTCGAGTTGGTCAGAAGCTTGCCAAGCTCGTTTCATAAACAAAATCCGCCCACTCAACGCAGCCTCTCCCATTCATGATTGCGGGATGAGCCTGGTCCTCCCCACGATTTGCTGCGACATCGTGCGGAGCTATCCCAAGAATCACGCTTCGACGACGCATTGCATGAACTACTGTCATTCCTTCTGCCGAAGCCTGACAATGGTCAAGAGAGCCCGCCTTACAAGGGGAAGGGGATGAGGAAAACGAGGTCACAAACTTTCCCACAACTGGGTTGGAGCCTATAAACAACAGCCCATTTGCTGCAGTAAACAGGACAGTGCGAAGTGAAGGAGTGCAAGTTCGCCCACGTCTGCGCCATTGGGGGATGTGCCGATGCCCCGTTCAGAAGAAGTCTTCAGTCTTGGATGCCACGCACAAGCAGACCGCGGGCCCCCAAGGGAAAATAGCGCTTCAAGTCCAATTGGAGCCTCCATGCGTCCCGTTGGGCGGCCGGAGTTTCGCGTGGCGCACGCGGCCCTGCCGCACTCTTGCTCGGAAGAAAGATTTGATGATCTCCGTGTTTGTGTCTCTGCGTTCCGGGTGCATGCTACGCAACGCTCGAAAGGAAGCAGTGCTACAAAATGTTTATCCTTTTTTCACAAGTTTTGTCCTTTGCCAGGTAGAGCTCCCATTTCCCAAACCATTATCTTTCTTTTGCAAACTGCCGATTGCGTTGTGTTTATGGCTCTTTGGGAACTGTAGACAGCATAGCCAGGGTGAGATATCCTGGCAAACAATGAACCGCTCCTACATATTGCGCTTTGGCTGGATAATCGGTACGTAGATCTAAGCCTCTAGCCCTGACCTGCCACAAAGAGCTTTCCCTTGAGCCCGTTTGAAATGTTAAAACCCTTATGCCCTGTAGAGACCTGTAGATGCCACGGGTTGCTGTTGTGTAGGGTTGGTTTGGTTGGTTTAGGGCTTAACAATAGCCCAGAAAGTTGCATGTAGCAAACATCCCAAAAGTGAAACCTTCAGGGGTTTAGGGTTTAGGGTTCAGATTTGAGGCGTGAACCTGAACCTTGAAAGCCCCAAACCCTTAAAAGCCCTGCGCTCAAGGCTGCGACCAAGGAGACCCAAAACCTTTGAACCCCCAGGTCAGATCAGGTAAAATAGGGGTCGGAATGATTCCTAATAGTATTCCTTTTGTGGTCCCTGTGTAAAAATTTATAAGAACCCCCAAAACCCTGTTCTAATTACCTCTATATGAGCCTTAACCGCTAAGCCCCACACCTTCGACCCTGTCACTGAAGCCTCAATCCCAGGGAGCACTGAACAAGAAAGGAAACTCATCCAAACCTTTGCGTGGCCCCTTGAATCATGAGCCCTGAGACCCTCAACCAGTGTTTGTTTTTACGTAGGCTTCAGGGTTTAGCTCAAGTGCTGAAACGTTTATTCGCAAGTGTTGAGCCTCTAGGTGTCAGGGTTGGGTTTGCGGGTTTGGGGTGTCAGCGTTTGGGGTTTCAGTGCTCTAGGGCTCAAGGGTCTTCTGAGTGTCAGGGTTTCCGCAGTCCGAAGACCCAAAAGACTTCTTGTGCGCTCCTGCGTCGCGCCAGAGAGGCTTTGTCTCCTCCTTCCTTACATCGCTGCTCAGGATGAGACCTGCTACCTAACAGATCTTGGCCGCCCTACACCCCTGAACCCCAAACCCCAGGCTTTAGGGTTTAGGGTTTAAGGTTTAGGGCAAGCCCTATTCAAGACCCCTCCACTGACTACATGTATAGGGTTCTTAAGGGAGAGGGGTTCAAGGGGGGGTACCTGACCCCTATGCTCCCCACTAGTCCCTCAGACTCCTTCAGCTTCCCTAGGGCTCCCTAGTTACCTATCCCCCATGAAGCCCCCCCTCCCTTAAGAACTCTATTACAAACCCCAAGCCCCTTAAACCCCTGAACCCCCCAAGCCCCTGAACCCTAAACCCTAAACCCTAAACCCTAAACCCTAAACCCTAAACCCTAAACCCTAAACCCTAAACCCTAAACCCTAAACCCTAGAAAGCCCTTAAACTTGTAGAGCTTTAACCATGGCTGCCATAGGGCTCAGGGCTTATGGCTGCACAGCTGTAGGGTTCTAAGGTTTAGGGTTTAGGGTTTAGGGTTGAGGGTTTAGGGTTTAGGGTTCTAAGGTTTAGGGTTTAGGGTTTAGCGTTTTGGGGTGGCAGGTGGCAAAGTCGCAGGCTTCACAACTGCAGGCTTTGAGGGCTGCAGGATTTTGGAGATTTGTAGGGTCTAAGGTTGCAGGGTTTAGGGTCCAGAGAGCTTAGGGTTGCAGGTTTAAGGTCTGTAGGGTTTAGGGTTTAGGGTTTACGGTTTAGGGTTTAGGGTTTAGGGTTTAGGCTGTAGGGTTTAGGGTTTAGGGTTTAGGGTTAGGGTTTGGGGTTTAGGGTTTAGGGGCTGCGCTGGACACTGCTTTCATTCAGGCCCTGAGTCCAACTTATTTCTGCTTTCCAGAAGCAAGAAGAGTTAACTCAGCTCAAGTTCTCATGTCAAGGAAGCTGGGGTTTAGGGTTTAGGGTTTAGGGTTTAGGGTTTAGGGTTTAGGGTTTAGGGTTTAGGGTTCCCTAAACTCTACGCCCTAAACCCTAAACTCTTAGGGGTATCATTCTTCAGCCACGTATGTGTACTGTGGCAGATCACCTTTGCAGAGTTCGGAACGCCTGAGAACCAGCACCAGAACCTAAAGTCAAAACCCTCAGGCCTAAAAACCTTGAATACCTTACAGCAACTCAAAACCCTGAGAACCCGAAACGCCCTGAGAACCCTAATGGCCTTAAAAAGCTTCTAAACCCTTAACGCCCCAAAAGCCCTGAAAACCCTTGGACAGGGTGGGGGTAGCGTGGGAACCCCTTTGGCCGAGGTTCTTTGGCAGTTTCCCGGAAATCCGTGCCCAAGTACCTCCACCTCGCGAAGGCAAGCCGGTTTAGGGCTTTAGTTTTTTTCGATGGTATAGGCAGGCCGTGGGGCTTAGGGTTTCGGGTTTAGGGTTTAGGGTTTAGGGTTTAGGGTTGAGGCTTTCAGGGTGATTCCTCAGTTGCAGCAGACAGGGTTTAGGGCCTTTCGGGTTTTGATGGCTTATGGTCCCTAAACCCTAAACCCTAAACCCTAAACCCTAAACCCTAAACCCTAAACCCTAAACCCTAAACCCTAAACCCTAAACCCTAAACCCTAAACCCTGAACCCTGAACCCTAAACCCTAAACCCTAAACCCTAAACCCTAAACCTTAAACCCAAAACCCAAAACCCTAAACCCTAAACCCTAAACCCGCCCTGAGCCCTTTGACCGCCATGGTGGAAGCTCTGCGGGTTGAAGGGCTTTGTCGGGTTTGGGGTTCAGGGACTTGGGGGGTGCAGGGGTTTAGGGGGTTTACTGGTTTAGGGGTTTGTAATAAAGTTCACTTGGGAGCCCTAGAAAAGCTGAAGGAGTCTTAGGGAGCAGTGGGGACCCCCTTGAACCTCTCTCCCTTAAGAACCCTATACATGTAGTCAGTGGAGGGATTTTGAGCCAACCCTAAACCCTAAACCCTAAACCCTAAACCCTAAACCCTAAACCCTAAACCCTAAACCCTAAACCCTAAACCCTAAACCCTAAACCCTGGTGGTTTCTCACTCTTTCCCTGAATCCCCAGAAAAAGAAGAAACAAGAAGCCCTCCATCTAAGCTCTGAGTTGTGTTTGGGGTCCGCTTCCCTTAGGGTCTAAACCCTCCATCCGCTTTTTTCCCCTCTCTCCGCAACCCTAAAACCCTAAACCCTAACACCCTAGCACCCTAAACCCTAAGCCCTAAACCCTAAACCCCAAACCCTAAGCCCTAAACCCTAAGCCCTAAACTCTAAACCCTAAACCCCAAACCCCAAACCCTAAACCCTAAACCCCAAACCCCAAACCCCAAACCCTAACACCCTAACACCCTAACACCCTAAACCCTAAGCCCTAAGCCCTAAACCCTAAACCCTAAGCCCTAAACCCTAAGCCCTAAGCCCTAAACCCCAAACCGCAAATCCTAAACCCCAAACCCTAAACCCTAACCCTAAACCCTAAACCCTAAACCCTGAACCCTAAACCCTAAACCTTAAACCCCTAAACCCCTAAACCCTAAACCCTAAACCCTGAAAACAAAACATCCCCTCAGAAGGACCTTGCCGCGCTGGAGGATGCGGAGTGCGACTCGGAAGTGGGCCTGGGCCGGCTGAGAAGCTACCAGGGCGAAGGCGCCTTTTGGGGGGGTTTAGGGTTTAGGGTTTAGGGTTTAGGGCATCAAGGGTGAAGGCGATTTTGGGTTTAGGGTTTGGGGTTCGGTTCGGCCTTTGGGGTTGAGGGTTTGGGGTTTTCAGGGTGTCAGGGTGTTGGGGTGTAGGGGCTGGAGACATGTACTAGCTGCTCTCTTTGCTTGCTCATGGTTCAGACATCGGGGAATGCCTGGGTCGGATCCCCTGCACTCGTCGTCGCGCGTTGTGTTGCTGTTGTTGTCTTGCTTTGGTTGGTGTGTTGCTGTCGTGGGCTGTCACTTTAAGCCTTGGGGCCGGAAGCGGCGTCCTTGTTAGGCCAGGCTCGTGCCTCGGTTCATTCCACTCCACTCCACTCCACTCCACTCTACTAGCTGCTCTTGAACCCCCAAACCCCCCAAACTCTTAAACCTGAAGCTCCCAAACCTCAAACTCCCAAACCCGAAGCCTGGAAGAATCAGGTCAGGGTTTGTGGTTTAGGGTTTAGGGTTTTTGAGGTTTTTGGTTTCTGGTTTCAGGTTCAGGGGTTGCGGGGTTCAGATTTAGGGGTTGAGGGCTTTAGGGCTTAGGGTTAAGGGTTTTCTGGATCAGAAGCCCTCAACTCAGGTTGGGTTTAGGGGCTCGGGATCTAGGGTTTCAGGGCTTAAGGTTTTCAGGGTTTAGGGTTTAGGGTCTAGGGTTGACGGGTTGAAGGGTCTAGGGGGTTCAGAGTTGACGGTTCAAGCGCTTGCTTGACAGGGATGCAAATGCAGGCAATGGCAGGGCTCAGGTAGCTTTTATATGCTGACCCTCGCAGAGGTTCACAGGCTCTCACGTGGGGGGATGTGTTTAAACCCTAAACCTTAAAATCTCTCGAGGTCTCCATTCGAGGTTTACCCCTTTCTTCTCGGTGTGGCCATTGGAGTATCTTCTTATCGCTTTTGCCCAAGTCCCCAAGACCTAAAGATCTAATCATAAACCCTAAACCTATCTACACCTCAAGGGCCTGCACCTTGAACCCAAAAAGGTGTAGAAGAACACCTTAAATACAGGCAGCCCTCATTGGGAGTATATTGTACCCTAAAAGCCCTAAACCCTAAGCCCTAAACCCTAAACCCTAAACGCAACCCTAAAACGACCCTAAGCCCTAAACCCTAAGCCTTGAACCCCAAACCCTAAGCTCTAAACCTTAAACACCAAAGTCCGAAACCCTACACCCTACACCCTAAACCCTAAACCCTAAACCCTAAACCCTAAACCCTAAGCCCTAAGCCCTAAACCCTAAAACCCTAAAACCCTATACCCTAAACCCTAAACCCTAAACCCTAAACCCTAAACCCTGCAGACGTAGAGGCATGCAATTCCCCTACTGGATGAGAGGTAATGACTAAGCGACATTATCCTGCGCACTGGCTGCCGAGCCACACCTCCCCACAAGATAAGTGCCCACGTATAGCCCGCGGGAGCTGCGAGAATCTCTTCTGGAGACGGCGCCAAAACCCTAAACCCTAAACCCTAAACCCTAAACCCTAAACCCTAAACCCTAAACCCTAAACCCTAAACCCTAAACCCAGAGGCTGTATCCCAAACTTTGGCCCCCTTGGAAGGCGAAGAGCTCTGCACTTCCGGGAACTCCGATGCCTCTGCGGCTGGGTTGCCGTAGGCCGAGGTTTGGGGTTTAGGGTTTAGGGTTTAGGGTTTTCAGGGGGTTTAGGGTCGGGTTTAGGGTTTAGGGTTTGGGGTTTAGGGCTTAGGGTTTAGGGTTTAGGGTTTTGGGTTTTGGGGTTTAGGACGTTTAGGGTTTGGGGTTTAGGGCTTTCAGGGTGTTTAGGGTTTAGGGTTTACAGTTGCGAGTTTTGTTGTAGGCTTCGGGTTCTGGGTTTAGACACGTCTTTCGGGTTAGGTTTCGCGGTGTAACGGGGGGCCTTTCGTTGAGAACACGCCGCCATAGAAGGCCCTCAACCCTAAACCTTAAACCCTAAACCCTAAACCCTAACCCTAAACCCTAAGCCCTAAACCCTAAACCCTAAAGCTCCGCACCTGAAGCTCAAATCTTTCACGCCCCAGAAGCCCCGTAAACCCTAAACCCAAACCCGTAAACGGACAAGCGCTAAATGCCCCGTAAGCCCTACAAGCCCTACAAGCCTACAAGCTCCCGCAATCCTTATAAGCCCCGGGAATTTTCGAACCCTACCAACACCGTAAGCAGTCTATGGGGTTTAGGCGCCAATCCCCATAAACTTAAAAAACCGATAAGCCTCACAACCCTAAACCCTAAACCCTAAACCCTAAACCCTAAACCCTAAACCCTAAACCCTAAACCCTAAACCCGAAAAGCGCTAAACCCTGTAAATGCCCCATAAGCCTTACCTGGGCTTAGTGTTTAAACCCTAAACCCTTAACGTGAAGCCCTAAACACAATCGGTTTAGGGTTTCGGTTCGGGTTTCGGCCCCCCCTAATCCCCAAACCTCAAGCCGAATCATGAAATCCTTAGCAGCTGCAGTGGTACATTTATGTCGGATATCCCACATGAGGGTGTTTTTGCAAACCCAAAACCCCAAACCCCAAACCCCAGACCTTAAACCCTAAACCCTAAACCCTAAACCCTAAACCCTAAACCCTAAACCCTAAACCCTAAACCCTAAACCCTAAACCCTAAACCCTAAACCCTAGACCCTAGACCCTAAACCCTACCCTAAACCCTAACACTTTTTTCCCTAAACCCTCAGACCCTAACATTCTTAAACCAAGGCTTCGTTCCGGTGCACGGCCAAATGGACGAAAAGGCCCTCTCGCGATTTAGGGCATTTAGGGACCTTATAGTTTGTATTGTTTTAGAGGTTTGTTAGGGTTGTCTGGTGCTTTGTAGGGTCTTATAGGGTTTTGTTCGAGTTTTATTCGGGGATTTGAAGGATTAAATTAAAGTTCAGGGTTACGGTTTTGGGTTTCGTTGAGGGTTTCTAGGGCCGAGGGTTCCTCGGCTTTCAGGGCTAGGGGTGAAGGGTCAGGCTTTTAAGGCTTAGTGTTGGGATGTTCTCCCCTTTTTCCAACAGTCCTGAGTAGGCAGTGTAGATCCCCCCCTTGTTAGAATCCCAATTAAGAACTGTTAGTATACCGGGGAACATCCCAACCCTAGACCCTAAAGCCTAAACCCGCAAACCGAAACCCTAAACCCTGAACCCTAAACCCTAAACCCTAAACCCTAAACCCCATACCCTATGCCCCAAGCCCGTGAGGGCTTTAGGGCTTCTGGGTTTTTCGGGTTTCGGGCTTCAGGGCTTCACGGTTACAGGGCTTCGCGGTTTCAGGGTTGCGGCTCAGAGTTGAGGCTCTATGACAGGGGTTTAGGGTTTAGGGTTTAGGGTTTAGGGTTTCTTCCCAGCACAAACAAGGCTTGCGCTAAGCCGCCCCAGCCCGCAACACCCCCACTAAAACCTTGAAACCCTAGAGGCCAAAGCCCAGAACCCTAAACCCAAAGGCCTCTCATTTTCTCATTCCCTATTAAAACCCTAAACCCTAAACCCGAAAGCCTAAACCCTAAACCCTAAACCCTAAACCCTAAACCCGAAACCCTAAACCCTAAACCCTAAACAACCCTACTAACAAGCAGGGGGAATAGAGAGGTCTCAGACGGAGGCAGAGAGCGGGGACTACTTGTGCCTCGGTCAGTTTCGAGAGACTCCAAGACGGACCTTGGGCTTTGGGGTTTGGGGTTTGCTGTTTATGGCTTTCGCTTTCGGGTTGTGGGTTTGGGGCTGAATTGGGGCTTACGGGGCTTTCTAGGTGTTTAGGGTCTAGGTGCCTCCCTTTTCGAGTGTCCATTCCAAGAACCTCGGACCATTTTGGCGCGAGGGGATTTTGGAGTTCACATCTCTTGAAGTCGGGTTTACTTGGAGGTTCATGGTACTTATTAACCATTTTTTCCCATTATAGCTGTACTTATAATTGTACTTATAACCATGTTAGGGCACTTAAGGGGCTGATAAGTGGGTTGTAGTTGGTTAATAACTTCCATGAGCCTCCAAGTAGGGTTTAGGGTTTGGGTGGGTCCCAAGTTCTGGCGGTTGGGGGCGACGCAGCCCCCCCATTGGCAAGCACAATGCTCGCGTGATGGGGTTTGGACCGGATTCATAAGTTTGGGACGCAAACTTGTACGGTTCAGAAGGGCGGCAACCCCAGCACGAGAGGACCAGAGGACCATAGGAGGGAACCAGGGATAAAACAAATCCGGGCACGACTTCTCGAGCAAAGAGTCGCTTCGCCACACCTTTAAAAAATGGCCCAGCGCACCTTTTTCAACAACATCTGCTCTGCCTGCGATTTCTTGTACTTTCGAGGGAAGAGTGGCTTCGCCACACCTTTGCGCACAAAATAGCCAGCCGGCGCTACACCTTTCAAAATCAATCCTCCGCCGGTCTAGGGTTTAGGGTTCAGGGTTCAGGGTTTAAGAAATAAAGAAGAAGTAGGATTCCCGCCCCCAAGTCCTAAACCTTAGGACTTTGAAATCCTAGCCTGTGGTTCAAGGGCCTTTAGGATGAAGGGTTCCCGGACCCCCAGACTTGCAGACCCTCTGGTATGCCCAGTTCACAATGCCTCAACTCTCTTTGAAGAAGCAGTCGGTAGCTGACGCCCCTTTCAAGAGGGGGTTGGGTTGGGGGTTGAGGGTTTAGGACCTTGCAAGCATCATGAAGCCCTAAACCCTGAACCCTAAACCCTAAACCCTAAACCCTAAACCCTAAACCCTAAACCCTAAACCCTAAACCCTAAACCCTAAACCCTAAACCCTAAACCCTAAACCCTAAACCCTAAACCCTAAAGCTGAATCCCCCATCTAAAACCACCAATCCTGCTGGGAACCTTCTTGGCCTCTTGGGTCATCTTCGAACCTTCTCAAGCCCCTAAACCCTAAACCCTAAACCCTAAACCCTAAACCCTAAACCCTAAACCCTAAACCCTAAACCCTAAACCCTAAACCCTAAACCCTTAAAGCCCGGGGGAAAACATGCCCTTATGAACCTCGCCAGCTCAACCCGCCTAGTACATCCTCAGCCCTAGGCCCTTAAGGGCTAAGCCCTCAGCCCTAAACCCCAAAGCCCTAAGCCCAAACCCTCAACCCTCCTTTAAACCCTAAACCCTAAACCCCAAACCCTAAACCCTAAACCCTAGACCCTAAACCCTAAAACTTAAGCTCCTCGCAAGCAGCTGAGGTGCCGAGGGAAGGGGATGAAGATCTTGCTGCCGCAGGCCGGCTCAAAGGAGCCCCTTCAGTTGCCAGGCAGCTTGGGGTTTAGGGTTTAGGGTTTAGGGTTCAGGGTTCAGGGTTTAGGGTTTAGGGTTTAGGGTTTAGGGTTGCCAGGCATGAGGTGGAGGTCATGGTACTTATTGGGCAGCTATAAGTGTACTTATAACTGTACTTAGAGGGGTTTAGGGTTTAGGGTTTAGGGTTTAGGGTTTAGGGTTTAGGGTTTAGGAACTGTACTTACAACTGTACTTATAACCATATTAGGGCACTTAAGGGGCTTTGAAGAGGCCAGGCAGCCGGTGGGGATTTAGGAGTTTAGGGGTTTAGGGGTTTAGGGCTTTAGGGCTTTAGGGCTTTAGGGTTTAAGGTTTAAGGGTTTAGGCTTTGGGGTTTCGGGTTTGCGGGTTACAGACTTTAATATTTTCAGGTTTTAGGGTTTTAAGGTTCTAAATGCAAAAAGGGGCACCTTTTAGGAGTTCTTTTTGAAAGGACTACAACGTGTGGGGGGTATTTTCGTGGGGCACTTGTTTTACCCTAGACCCTAAACCCTAAACCCTAAACCCTAAACCTTAAACCCTAAACCCTAAACCCTAAACCCTAAACCCTAAATAAGGTTTCACAGCCTGAAGGCCGGGGATCGGGGGTTCAAAGTTGAGGGTTCTTTAAGGCCGGCGCCTGGGGTTGAAAGTTCAGGGGGTTAGGGTTTAGGGTTTAGGGTTTAGGGTTTAGGGTTTAGGGTTTAGGGTTTAGGGTTAGCCCTAACCCCCCCCAGCTCAACAGAACCGAGGCTCTATGGCCAGGAGGGCGGCTGCAACTGGATTCCTGGACTTGTGCGAGGTTTTAATTTTGGGGTCCTGGGAGGGGGTTTCAAGGGGGCATGTTACCCAAGGTTCCATAACCCTGAACCCTAAACCTTAAACCCTAAACTAAACTACTACACCCTAATCCCCACTACTCCCTAAGGCTTCCTAAGCGTTACTAAGGTTCCGTAGGGAACATTTCCCTTGAGCTGAAGGACCCTATAACCAAACCCTAGACCCAAAGCCCAAAGCCCTAAACCCCGCCTTAGGGTCCTTATCGGGTTCGGTGTAGGCTTCAGGGGTTGCAGGGCTTTAGGGGTTTTAGATGTAGGGGAGTTTGGCTTTTTGTCTTGGTTTTTTTTTGAGGAGCCCTAGGCCCGACTTTGTTACGACGTGGCTGGGTTTAAGGGGGTTCAGAATATCCCTAAACCCTAAACCCTAAACCCTAAACCCTAAACCCTAAACCCTAAACCCTAAACCCCAAGCCCTTAACCGCTAGGAGTCCCTGAAGGCCCCAAACCCCTGAAACCCTTAAACCCCCTAGACCCCCTAGACCCCCTAGACCCCCTAAACCCCCTAAACCCCCTAAACCCCCTAAACCCCCTAAACCCCCTAAACCCCCTAAACCCCCTAAACCCCCTAAACCCCCTAAACCCCCTAAACCACCTAAACCCCCTAAACCCCCTAAACCCCCTAAACCCCCTAAACCCCCTAAACCCCCTAAACCCCCTAAACCCTAAACTCGAAACCCTAAACCCCCTAAAACCGTTAAGCCCAGGAAGCTGCAGCATCTCCAGCTGGACTTCTTCCTGTGGGAAGGCCTATGATGTGGGGAGCGTGCTAGGAATTTGAGACCCTTGGAGGGCTAAACCTAGGGCTTGAACCTTAAACCCTAAACCCTAAACCCTAAACCCTAAACCCTTAACCCTGAACCCTGAACCCTGAACCCTGAACCCTGAACCCTGAACCCTAAACCCTAAACCCTGAACCCTGAACCCTGAACCCTGAACCCTGAACTCTTAACCCTTAACCCTGAACTAACCCTGAACCCTGAACCCTGAACCCTTAACCCTTAACCCTTAACTCTTAAACCCTAAACCCTAAACCCTAACCCCTAAACCCTAAACCCTAAACGGCCAGTAAGGTTTAGGGTTTAGGGTTTAGGGTTTAGGGTTTAGGGTTTAGGGTTTAGGGTTTAGGGGTTTAGGGGTTTAGGGGTTTAGGGTTTAGGGTTTAGGGTAAGGGAGGGTATAGGGTGTAGAGTTTAGGGTTTAGGGTTCATGAAATTGGTACCTAGGGAACCTTAGGGAAGTAGTGGGGAGTATTCGGGATCTTTGGGTTGCATGCCCCCCTTGAACCCCGCTTCCCTCAAGAACACTCTAAGTTCCTAAAGGGCTTTTTGGGGTTTTGGGTGTTGCAGTTGGGCTTTAGGCTTCCTTACACTTTCAAGCGGAACCCCCTAAGGGTTTAGGGAGGTTTGTTACCCGAACCCTGATGCATAAAGCCTTAAGACCCTAAACCCTAAACCCTAAACCCTAAACCCTAAACCCCAAACCCTAAACCCTAAACCCTAAACCCTCAACCCTAAACCCTAAACCCTAAACCCGGAAGGCCGCGATCTAAAGCTGGACTTGCGCAATGGGCCTACGGACGCGGCGTGCGACGAGCCTTGGGCTTCCTTTTCGTGGCAGCTCTTGCCCTCTAAGAGGTTTAGGGTTTAGGGTTTAGGGTTCAGGGTTTAGGGTTTAGGGTTTAGGGTTTAGGGTTTAGGGTTTAGGGTTTAGGAACTGCTGTGTGGTTTGATTTTCGGATCGACGCCTTACACTGTGAACCCTAAACTCCAAGCCCAATCCTCCAATCCCTAACTAAACCCAAGGGATGATTCTCGTGGACTTTCGTGCTTCCATGAGTGTTTAGGTCAGACCCGATCAGCTCTCCCCAAGACTTAAACACGAACCCCCCTAAAGCCCTGAAGCCCTAACTCCCCTGAAGCCCTAACTCCCCTGAAGCCCAAAAGCCCTTAAGCCCTAAACCCCAAACCCTCAGCCCTGAACTTTAGACCCCTAAAGCAGCCCTGAAACCCCAAAACCCGCCTTCAAGGAAGACATGGGCTCGTCCCCGGTCCTCCTCTTCAGTGACGAGCCCAGCTTCTGGAATCCTTTCATCAGCCAGGAGCGGCCTTAGGGGGGGGGGGGTTTATCACTGGGGGCCTCTTGGGGGTTTAGGGTTTAGGGCTTAGGGTCACGGTTTCGGAGGAGGGTTGAGGGTTTGGGGGTTTGGGGTGTTGGAGTTTGGAGTTTGGAGTTCGGCGTTTATGGAGGATCGGAGGGCCCCTTTTAGGGTATTCATAACTCTACTTAGTATCTACTCACTATAGTCCCCAACCTCCTAAACCCTAACAACCCCTCAAAACCCTAAAAACGCTAAGAGGTCATTTTTTTCTGGGCCAGGTCATTTTTTTGCTGGGCAAGGTCGTTCTACAAGTGAAATATTTTCTTAATGTTGTGGGATTCTTTGGGCGGGTGGGTATTTTCCTGGAGTAATTGCTTGACTAGTGACTTGAGATGCTGAACCATAAGCCCTAAACCCTAAACCCCAAACCCCAAACCCTAAACCCTAAACCCTAAACCCTAAACCCTAAACCCTAAACCTTAAACCCTAAACCCTTAAACCCTAAACCGAAACCCTAAACCCTTGTAACCCTAAACCCTAAACCCTAAACCCCAAACCCTAAACCCTTGCCAGGCCCAGGTGCTCATGGGCTACGTGTCCCTGGCGGCGCTGGATCTGGATCCCAAGAGCCTGGGGTTCGAGGGTTTAGGGTTTAGGGTTTAGGATTTAGGGTTTAGGGTTTAGGGTTCAGGGTTCAGGGTTTAGGGTTTAGGGTTGAGGGTTCTGATTCCTGACTCAGTAGCCAACCCCAAAAGCAGGCACCTTGTGTGATTTGGAATAGATTGTCAAAGATCCATGTGTCTGACCCCTAAGCACCTAGACCCTACCAGCCTTAAGCCCCAAGCCCTCAATCCTAAACCCGAAGAAGACCTCAGCCCTTAAGCCCTAAACCCGAAACCATGCAATCCCCAAACCCCCAGCCCCAAATCCTAAAGTTGGATCTCAGGGAAGTTGCGTGGTCCCTAACATGGTCCCTTAACCCCTAAACCCTAAACCCTGAGCCTTAAGCCCTAAGCCCTAAGCCCTGAGCCCTAAGCCCTAAGCCCTAAGCCCTAAGCCCTAAGCCCTAAACCCTAAACCTGCTTTGAAGGGTTCTGAAGTCTCGGCTCTTGGGTTTTAAAGGGTATATACAGGGTATCTAAGTGTTCCCCAATTGAGGGCCCCATGTGAAGGGACCATGTAAACGCCCTTAAAGTCTAGTAAGCCGGGCCAATCGCCCTAAACCCTAAACCCTAAACCCTAAACCCTAAACCCTAAACCCTAAACCCTAAACCCTAAACCCTAAACCCTAAACCCTAAACCCTAAACCCTAAACCCTAAACCCTAAACCCTAAACCCTAAACCCTAAACCCTAACCCCTCAACCCTAAACCCTCACCCCTAAACCCTAAACCCTAAACCCTAAACCCTAAACCCTAAACCCTAAACCCTAAACCCTAAACCCTAAACCCTAAACCCTAAACCCTAAACCCTAAACCCGCAACCCTAAACCCTAAACCCTAAACCCTAAACCCTAAACCCTAAACCCTAAACCCTAAACCCTAAACCCTACACCCTAAACCCTAAACCCTAAACCCTAAACCCTAAACAAACCCTAAACCCTAAACCCTAAACCCTAAACCCTCAACCCTCCTAAACCCCAAGTCCCCTTAAACCAGACCAGGGCGACCCTAAGATTCGAGGGCCCCCAGCTCCAGCCGAGGAGCTTGCGCATGGTGGTGGCAGTGGACGAGGAGACCAGCCCTGGGGTTGAGAGTTGTGGAATTTTGTTTAGGGTTTAGGGTTTAGGGTTTGGGGTTTAGGGTTTAGGGTTTGGGGTTTAGGGTTTGGGGTTCTTTAGGGTTTAGGGTTATCAAACCCTGAACTTTCGGGTTGAAGGAGGGCGACCCCGAAATCCGAGCTTCATCCTAACCCTAAACCCTAAACCCTAAACCCCAAACCCCAAACCCCAAACCCTAAACCCTAAACCCTAAACCCTAAACCCTAAACCCTAAACCCTAAACCCTAAACCCTAAACCCTAAACCCTAAACCCTAGGATCTGCCTCTTTTTTTGAGGAGGATTGCTGTGGAGCGAAGGCGCCACTGATGGGCCTCCTGCAAGGTCTCTTCTCGCAAGCTGGTCCCAGCACCTGGGCTGTCTCAGGGTTGCAAAGGGTTGAGGGTTTAGGGTTTAGGGTTTAGGGTTTAGGGTTTAGGGTTTAGGGGTTTAGGGTTTAGGGCTTTAGGGTTTAGGGTTGCAAGGGCTTCAGGGCTTTGGGGCTCTAGGGCTTTTGGACTTCAGGACTTTAAGGTGTTAGGGGCTTTAGTTCTTTTTTCTTTTTGCTGTCTGCATATTTTGGGATTTTTGCCCTGTCTTAGAGCGATCGCGGGCATCGTTCTCTCAATGTTTTCTGAAGTATGATCGGAACTTCCGTGATCACCACATGGTTCGGCATCCTGAAAAGGTGCCCTACCCCCCCACCTCCCCCCCCCGCCGCCTAAACCCTAAACCCTAAACCCTAAACCCTAAACCCTAAACCCTAAACCCTAAACCCTAAACCCTAAACCCTAAACCCTAAACCCCATACCCCAAACCCCAAACCCCAAACCCCAAACCCCAAACCCCAAACCCCAAACCCCAAACCCTAAACCCTAAACCCTAAACCCTAACAAAAGACAACAAAGGCATACGGCGGAAGGAGAAGCCTCAGATGATCTGCAGCAACGATGCTCGGTAGGGTCTTGGGACATTTTCTCCCTTATTGGGTTGAAGAGGATGTCATATCCAGGAATATTTTTTCAGAGGGTTTAAAAACCCTAAACCCTAACCCTAAACCCTGAACCCTGAACCTGGAACCCTAAACCCTAGACCCTAATCCTTCTCAGAGGGTTTTTTCAGGGCCCTCCGAGGATGTCATTGTGCCCACGGGCGGGCGAAACAGCTTCGTGCGGAAGAATGCCGGGAAGGAGGACCCCTGGGCCTCGAAATGTCGGAACTCCCCCCTGGTGCGCGGCTACTTTGTGTGGTGCTAACCCTCAACCCCAAGCCCTAAACCCTAAACCGTAAACCCTAAACCCTAAACCCTAAACCCTAAACCCTAAACCCTAAACCCTAAACCCTAAACCCTAAACCCTAAACCCTAAGTGCAGCCAAGGCTACGGGTCCTTTGTCCGGGAGAGCTTCAACGTCACCAGCAATCCGGTCCAGGACCCCCTGATCCTTAAACCCTGAACCCACATGAAGTAGGGTTATATTCTTAGTATCCCCCAAACACCCTAAAAGTTGCAATATATATATATATATATATATTGATCTTGTGAAAATAAATAAATAAATATATATATATATATATGTATACACGTCCCTTCTTCCGGAGGCCCCTGAGCCCTAAACCCGAAGCCCCCTCGGCCAAGAAACAAGAGGCCTCCACCTGGCGGATCGCGCTGCTTTCGCGGAAGGCCAACAGCGACCACACAGGCAAATTCAACAGGGAGATGCCACTAAACTGCATCGAGCAATGGGTTCCCCTACTAATTCCTCCCTCAAGAACCCGCCCCCTAGGTGTGTTCAATTAAACAACCTTCATGAGGCTTAATTATCCCTATATATGCAACTTCAACAGGGAGTAAACCCTAAACCCTACCCAAAACCCCAAACTCTAAACCCTAAAACCCTAAACCCTAAACCAACCCACAACCACCCCGCGGGGGGGTTGGTGAGGGGGGGGCAGGGGGGAGGGGGGGAGGGGGGGGGGGAGGGGGGGGTGAGGGGGGGGGGAGGGGGGAGGGGGGAGGGGGGGAAGGGAGGGGGGGGGGGGCCTCGTTGGGCGCAACCACATATACCCTTGACGGGATTTGTATAGGGTACCTCATTCCCCCCATTCCCTACTCAGAACTTGATTCAGGGGATCCCGCGCCGTACCCCACTACCCCACTCTTCCATTGCAAAGTAGTTTGGGGGAGGGGGCTACTACTCACAACACTACAAAGCTGCATTGAGACCACGAAGCCTTGAACCCTACGCCCTAGAGCCTAAACCCTACTCGTTCTTGTGGTGCCTGTGCTTGCAATGCACGCCCGAGCCTTGTAACCCACACCCCCCAAAGTCTAGGACAGTTTCGGGTGGGAGGGTTAAGCGGGCTTGGGGTTTAGGAGTTAAACCCTAAACCAGAGGCCCTAAACCTTTGCCCGAAACCCCAAACCCTAAACCCCAAAACCCAAAACCCCAAACCCTGAACCCCAAAACCCCGAACCTATAAGATGTCTGATTGGTCGTCCTCTAAACCCCAAACCCCAAAACCCCGAACCCCAAACCCTAAACCCCAAAACCCAAAACCCAAACCTTAGTCCTAACACCCGAAACCCCCAACGTCAAAAACCCCAAAACCCCTAACCTTAAACCCTAAAACCCGAAACCCCCAACCTTAAAAACCCCAAAGCCCGAATGGAGGACTAACGTGGAGGAGGTGGTCACCGGGCTCAAGGCCAACGGGACCGAAGAGGCCCCGACCTCCTTGCTGGAGGTCGCAGCTCTTCAGAGGAGCTGCCTGGCCCCGTTGAAGGTCCTCCTGAGGGGTTTTGTTTGCTTGGGCTTAGGGTTTAGGGTTTAGGGTTTAGGGTTTAGGGTTTAGGGTTTAGGGTTTAGGGTTTAGGGTTTAGGGTTTAGGGTTCAGCATTGAGGGTTATCGGGTTCAGGGTTTAGGGTTCAGGGTTCAGGGTCTAGGGTCTGGGGTTCAGGGTTTAGGGTTCAGGCTTTTAGGGTTGAGGGCTTGCTTCTAGGGTTGAAGGTGCAGGGTTCAGGGTTTGGGGTTTTAGGGGTTTGTGGCTTCGGACAGTTTAGGAGCTCAGAAGCTTAGGAGTTTGGGAGTTTAGGTGTTTCGGGTCTAGGACTCAACCAGAAAAAAAGGCTCCCGGCCGAGGGCTTGACTGGCTTACCCGAAACTCTGAGCTTTAAATTCTAAGGTCTAAGCCCTGAACCCAAAACCCTGAAACCCTGAACCCCTGAACCTCTGAAACCCTAAGCCCTCTCTAACCTATGTATATTCAACGGCCAATGGCTTCACGGTTTTCCACCGAACTTTCGCGGTTTTCCAATAATTCACGGCAAACGAACTTTCGCGGTTGTCCACCGAACCTTCGCGGCTTTCCACCGAAATTTCAAGCACGTCTCCAGAGGAAGATGATCAAGGGTGGGGTAGGGTGGGGCCAGGCATGGCCATCAGGGCTGGTTTTAGGGTTTGAGGCACTCTGGGCTGGCTTTAGGGTTCAGGGCCTACTCTGGGCTGGTTTTAAGGTTTAGGGCTACTCTGGGCTGGTTTTAGGGTTTAGGGTGGGCTGGCTTTAGGGTTTAAGGCCGACTCTGGGTTGGCTTTAGGGTTTAAGGCCGACTCTGGGTTGGCTTTAGGGTTTAAGGCCTACTCTAGGCTGGCTTTAGGGTTTAAGGCCTACTCTGGGCTGGCTTTTGGGTTTAGGGCCTACTCTGGGCTGGTTTAGGGTTTAGGGCTTACTCTGGGCCTCCTCTGTGCTGGTTTAGTTTTTAGGGTTTAGGGCCTGCTTTTAGGGTTGAGGGCCTCTGGGCGGCCGCCTACTGAGCCTAAAGTTTTAAGGTTACAACGAAAGATGAAATGTCATAATGTTCTGGGGTCCAATGGGTGGGTGGGTCGATATTCGATACCGGAATAAGGAGCTCTATTAGTGAAATGCTTGGACTTGAGATGCTGAACCCTAAGCCCTAAACCCTAAACCCTAAACTCTAAGCCCTAAACCCTAAATCCTAAACCCTAAACCCTAATTCCTAAACCCTAAACCCTAAACCCTAAACCCTAAACCCTAAACCCTAAACCCTAAACCCGAAACCCTGACGGACCCAGGTTTGGAGAGCCAAGGCGCCCAGGTGCGGACTTGCCTTTGTGGCCAAAAGACCGAAGGATGACTAAAGCCACAAGGGGTTTAGGGTTTAGGGTTTAGGGTTTAGGGTTTAGGGTTTAGAGCTTAGGGGTAGCATGACTGCTTATTTGGGGTATAAAGCTTAGGGGTAGCAGGACTCAAGCTTTCTTTAGGGCTTATTTGGGTTTAGAGCTTAGGGGTAGCATGGCTAGGGCTTGTTTGGGGTTTAGAGCTTGGGGGTAGCATGACTCAAGCTTTCTTTAGGGCTTATTTGGGAGTTGCTCAGGGGTAGCATGACGAAAACTGTCTTTAGGGTTTATTTGGGGTTTAGAGATGAGGGGGGTTCAAGGTTTGGGGTTTGGGGTTTCCCCTCCTCCACCCTCCCCGCCCCGCCCAATTCAAGCCCTGAGCCCGAAACCCTAAACCCTAACTAAACCCTAAACCCCAAACCCTAAACCCTGTTTGAGATTCCGGCTTGACACTTTCCAGGTCACCGTGCTTGAGATGGAGGCCCTGCCCATTGTGGATCAAGTTCGAGCTATCGCGAACCTTGCCGGTCGAATGAATGTGAGCGAGTCTTGGGTAGCGGGGCTGGAAAACCCGAAGGCCTACAAGGGTTTAGGGCACTTGGGGTTTGTGTAAAAAGCCCTAAAAAACCCTAATCCCTAAACCCTAAACCCTAAACCATTCATTGCATGATTACGGCTTAGTACGGCCTGTTTTTGCGTGTTAAGGCTGTCAAGGCACTACTGCTTGGGGAATCGGCCGCTCTTGCGCCTCCCTTACACCCCCTGTGGTTCCTCACAAACACCACAGCCGGACACTCATGGAAACTTTATACCCGTACTAAACGGTGCTTAGGGGTTTCTAAAGGAGAATTTAGTAGAACACTTTTCCTGAAGGATCAGGGGACTTAGCAAGTAAGTACAGAGTTATAGGTACTTCACAACTACAACGAAGCCCCCCCCCCCTCCCGATCCTCCAAGTTCCCTCGTGCTCACAGCACCAGGGTGTAGGTCTTAGGGTTTAGGGTTTAGGGTTTAGGGTTTAGGGTTGAGGGTTCCAGGGTTTGGGAGGAGAGGTTTCAGGTCCGGTGTCGCAGGAATCACACCCGGTTTAGGTGTTGCCCGAAACCCTAAACCCCTCAACCCATTCTCGCACAAGTTGGAGAGCCGTCCAAGAGAACCCTAAACCCTAAACCCTGAGCCCTAAACCCTAAACCCTAAACCCTAAACCCTAAACCCTAAACCCTAAACCCTAAACCCTAAACCCTAAACCCTAAACCCTAAACCCTAAACCCTTTGTGCGGTGAGGGCCCGGTGAGAGAAACGAAGAAGGATGGGAAAAGTGATGGTAAGGTACATGAACCTGAGGGTTGATCTGGAGTCTTAGGGTTTTAGGGAAAAGGGTTTAGGGTTTAGGGTTAAGGGTTTAGGGTTTAGGGTTAGGGTTTAGGGTCTTTTATATCGCCCTACTCATATCCCCATGGATGAGAACCCTGTATATGTCCCGTTCGATGACCCTCTTCAGCCCACAGAAGTTTGATTTAATGGGACCCAAATAATGGGAAGGCTTTCCACAAGAGAGGAGGATCCAGAAGTCCTCAAGGACAAACTGTGTAGGGTTTGGGGTTTAGGGTTTGGGGTTTAGGGTTTAGGGTGCACTTGTGCAAAGGAAGTAGATATTTCGAAAGCCGAAGACACCGACGAGCACTTACTAGCGTTAGTCCTTGGTGCATTTGCGGGTTGGGCTGGTGTTCCGAGCAGCACCGACCCGTCGGCAAGCTTTGCTGCTGACCCGGGAATTTCCCACTTTCAAGGTAGGGTTTGGTTTGGAGTTTAGGTCTCGGGTGCTCACCTGAATCCGCATTCAAGGAACACAGACTTGCTGATCAGCGCGCACTCAGCCGCCCTATCCTGGATGATGGCTTTGCCTCCTTGTGCGCAAGTTCTCGATGCTCGGGCGCTGTTCATAGGGTTTTTGGGGTTTTTAGGTTCTTTAGAGTTTATAGGGTTTGTAGGGTTTACAGGGTTTATAGGGTTTATAGGGTTGACCGGGTTTATGGGGCTTATGGTGTTTATGAAACGCGAAATGGAAAGGCGTCAAGGTCGTGAGGCAGATGGTGTTCGGGTGCTGCAAATGTTCATCAGGTTTTTCGGAGCAGCTTTGCGGACCGTAAGAACAGCCAAGGAGATATGCGCAGCAGGCAATTTCCAGTTCATAAACTACGCCAAGCTTGCCGGAGTGGAGCATCATTGCGTGGGCCCCCACATTGCGTGGCTTGGTAGCCCAAACCCTAAACCCTAAACCCTAAACCCTAAACCCTAAATTTAGGAGCCTCCGGCCTCAGGACGCCGACCCAAGAGGCCCGAAACCTCTCAACCCTCAAAGCCGGAAATTGTTGTTACCCTAAAGCCTAAACGCTAAACTCTACACCCTAAACCCTAAACCCCTGCACCAGGGTTCGGGGGTTTGAGGACGTGTTGTGGGAATGGGGGGGTAGAGACGTCCTCTTGGAGTGGTTGGCGTAAGGTTGCAACATAGGCAACCCCCCCGTGAAACCTCGAACCCTAGTCCCTAAATCCCAAACCCCTAACCCTAAACCCTACACCCTATATCCAGAACCCTAATCCGTCAAGAACCTTCACTCCAGGCTTTGAGCCTCTGTGGGTCTAATGCTCTTAGGGTATTCGACCTTTGGGTGGGGGGGTTTTGTTAAAGGAGCCCCTACCCCCTGTGCTGAACCGCCTATGGTCGATGCGTTTACGTCGTGCAGGTGGCGCGGTCCTCTATGAAAAACATTGTGCACCGACCCCCCACCCCCCGCCCGAAGGGTTCCCTCCCCCAAAACCATCCAAACACGCCGCCAGGGTCGGCGGATCCCAAACCCTAAGCCCTAAGCCCTAAGCCCTAAGCCCTAAACCCTAAACCCTAAACCCTAAATCCCAAACCCTAAGCCCTAAGCCCTAAACCCGAAATCCTAAACCCTAAATCCCAAACCCTAAGCCCTAAGCCCTAAACCCTAAACCCTAAACCCTAAACCGATACCAAGGTGGGGCACTCGCACCTTCAAAGCCCCTGTCTCAGAAATGGTGCGAGATGCCCTGGCAGCCAAAGAGCGCCGTGATCAGTGCCTGCAAAGCGTCGTTTCGTGAGACTCTGGGAGAAGGCGCAGGGATTGTCAGCTTTGGTCCATCGCCGTTTAGGGTTTAGGGTTTAGGGTTTAGAGTGAGAGGTATGGTTTTGTTGCGTCTGTTTGTCTGGTTTCTACACCAGAACAGCCCAAAGCGTTGGCAGCAGAGGAGGCGGGGGAGGGGAGGTGGGCTTGCTGATGACACGGCAGGTGCGGCTTGCAGATGCAGCCGAGACATCAGATTTCCAAAAAACATTCGACTCACCGTGTTGGATAACGGCCACTAGTATTGAAAGTGCTCCTCGATGACATTGCTCTGTGGCAGTGAGGTGTGTGTACATATCTTCATAACCATCGGTTTAGGGTTTAGGGTTTAGGGTTTAGGGTTTAGGGTTTAGGGTCTTGAAGCACATGAAATGAAAAGGTGTGTGATTCGGACTCCGCACCTCGCGGAGCAGCTTTGCCCGGTTCTGTCGCATGGTCGCCGTTGGACTCTTTGGGACAGCGGCACTGTTCCTGTGGTACCGGCCACCTGCGCCGGTACTTCTTTCACTGCACGCCCAGGTTACACGCACCTGCAAGCCCGTGAAATAGGACCCAGTTGTGTTCGCAACAGCGAACCTGACGTCTTCTGACACCGCTTCAGCTTCGGTGGCATGATTCTGGACACAAAAAAAGCGTCTTTCAGATGGCCGCAGAACTTCTGCACTATCTGCACTTGGCCTCGAGCAACTAGGTTCTGCGTGAGGGTTTAGAGATCGGGGCTAGAGCGCTTAGGATTTGGGAGTTAGGGTTTGGGGTTTCGGTTTCCTATGAACAGCTAAGTTTAGGATTTAGTGTTTAGGGCTTCCCATTTAAGAGCCCCTAACCCCTCAAGCCCTAAGCCCCGCTCAGCCCATCATGCCCCTACACCAGGCATTGCGGTGTTGGATGGTGTTGGGTTCAAGGTGTAGGCTTTAGGGGTTAGGAAGAAGGCGCTTAAACGCCTAGGGCGGATGGCTTAGGGTTTGAGCTTAAGGTTTGGGGTTTAGGTCTTAGGAAAAGGTATTGTGCTCAAGCGGGTTCGGGTGTTGGGTACATGATGAGTTCTCTAAATTGTTTAAGGTACCCGAAATACGAGGGGCCGCCTTATAGTCAGGACCTCCCAAAGGGGCCATAATTTAGTGAAATCACCACATAGAGTCTCGGGCTTAGGGTTTTAGGAGCCTTCAAGCAAGCTTGTGAAACCGGAGTCTCTGAGGCTAGGGCCCATGGGCAGTCTATATTTCCCCCAAACCCTAAACCCTAAACTCTAAACATCCCTAAACCCTAAACCCTAAACCCTAAAGCCTTAACCCTAAACCCTAAACCCTAAACCCTAAACCCTAAGGTTCAAGAGGATCATCTTAAACTCTGATATCTCTGTCATATAGAAGCTCAAACCCTAATGATCTTCGTGGGCAAGGTTGGGGGTTTTGGGGCCTTGCGCCGAAGTGAAGGAAGTTTTTGTGCCTTGAAGGTGTGGGGTGAAGGACCTAGGAAAGGGAGCCTAAGGTTTATATGGATTGAGTTATTCTCTTAATGTCATGGGATTCTTTGGGCGGGTCCTGTGAAAACTAGAACATGAGATGCTGAACCCCAAACCCTAGCCCCTAAACCCTAAACCCTAAAGAAGAACATGGCGTACCGTTTGGGGATATAAGGCACCTAAATCCTCCGATTCCCTATTGAAAATTAGTAAATATGAAGCCAGCAACCCTCAATTCTACGCCTAGAGCCTAGCCCCAAAACCCTAAACCCTAAACCCTAAACCCTAAACCCTAAACCCTACACCCTGAATTCTGAACCCGGTACAACGCCACTGCCGCAGTCTGTGTGCTCGTTCACAATAGAGTTTAGGGTTTAGGGTTGACGGTTTAGGGAATATGGAGCCCAAAGCGTTTCACCCCAAGAATACCCTAAACCCTAAACGTATCCCTTCCTGCTGGGGGGGGGGGGGTCTGCAGAACAAATATGTTAGTTTGTTCTTTCCTTCCAGCCTCTCAGCAACCGTTGGACAGTGGGCTGAACCCTAAACCCTCCTAAGCCCTAAGCCCTAAGCCCTAAACCCTAAACCCTAAACCCTAAACCCTCAACCCTAAACCCTAAACCCTAAACCCTAAACCCTACACCCTAAACGCCGTGGGCTTCCCTGAGCCGACGCTTCTTGTTCTTCTTCATCGCAGGGCGCCCAGAACCTGGATTTTAGGGCTTAGGGCTTAGGGTTTAGGGTTTAGGGTGTGGTGTGCCACTCAAACACCAAAGTTTCAGCTAAATGATCCTTCTGCTATGCCTCAAGACATAGGGCTTGGTGGGTTTAGGGTTTAGGGTTTAGACTTTCGGACGGCTGACTCGAGCGCAGTTGAGCTGTTTTGAGGACGTATGGCCCCCACACAGAAAACCGAGGTGCTGTGAACTTGTGGGGGTTTCCGAAAAGAAGGGTAAACCCTAAATCCTAAATCCTAAATCCTAAATCCTAAACCTTAAACCCTAAACCCTAAACCCTAAACCCCATAACCAGGAGTAGACTGCTTGGGCGTCGCTTCGGGGGTGTGCCCGGGCCTACTCTCGGAAATTCCCTTGTCGTCATGGCTGAAGGCTGCGAGCCTGTAAATTGCATGGGACATGTGATCTGAGATGCATGTCGAATATTTGGGAATTGAAGCAAGATGCGAGCACACATCCGCCATGGATGTCATGGTATGTTATGTTGCATAAAGTTTTTTTTTTCGAGTTGCTTTTCGTCAAGCACTCGCAGAAGCCACACCATGGGCGCTGCCGCATGAGCAGCGCGATCATCCGCAGGCCAATGACTAGCAGCCAAACTGCCGTTCTGCGCCAAATCGTTTTGCGTATGCAAAACATCTGTTTTGCAGCTTCGGACAGGAGTCCAAGCCGGGAGGACCAAGACGTAGACCCAGCAGACCGAAAGTACGCAATCATGAAGGCTGAGAAGATCTTTCTGCTTGCGGGAGAAGTCCTACTAAAGGCAGGAGAAGCTGAAGGTGAAGGCGTTCAACCAGAAGAGCGCCCGCCCCATACCTACTTTCCAGAGGCTTGCTCCATGATCCACCTGGCTCTTGGGCACCTTATGGAAGGCAAAATTCACGAGCTCGTTCAAGAAATGCGCAACATCCGAAGTGCAATGGCCCGTGTGCAACAGCTGATGGCGCACAACAATGACGATCTAGATCATTCCGAGGCACTCACATCAGGTTCTGGACGAACACGAGCCTCTAATGATGTCGTGACTTCCTATGGAAGTGACAACGCTTGGGTCATGACAATCGTTATGAAGCATTTTTCTTCAAGAAGGCGGGCTGGTGGACAAAAGACTGGGCTTCAATCCCCTACCCGATTTCGCACAGTTGCACGACCTTGGAGCGTCGCTGCTTTCTGAAAACAAGCTGGTGGTGCGTGAGTTCCGGCTCGAGCTCGATGGGAAAACTTTGCAGAACGGCAACACCAAGCAGGAGCTGAGCAAGCTGAAAGGGTCACAGAATGTGCTCATCTATCTTATGCTCACAGGCTCGCAACCGTGGAGTCCCAACGTGCGATCCATTGGCATGCCTTTCGACGGAAAGGAGAAGTTCCTGATATGCATCGAGGGCAACATCGGCTCACGAAAGTCCGATTTAATGCAGAAGCTTTTGGAAATCAACGCGCACAGGCAGCAGCAAGTGAAAGTGATAAGAGAGCCGGTGGACAAGGATGGTCCAGATGGTTTTAAAGAGGCGATGGAGCAGTTTTACGATGCCCTGGCAGCAGGTGAGGCTGCGTCGCTTCAACAAAAAGAGGCAAGCTCCCGCTTTGAGCAGAAGATGTTTAAACACCACTTCCATGTGGCCACAGGCCCTGAAGTGAGATCAATGCACGTGATTTCAGAAAGATCAATCAAGGCAAAGATACACGTTTTCAATGAGATCAACTACGACCAGGGAAGGCTGCTGCCACAGTACCGAGACGACATGCAACGACAATATCAAGAGAACATAAAGGGACTTCGACAGCATCAGCCGCATGCAGTCATTTTTTTTGAGATTTCTGTTCGTCAAGCCATTGACAGAATCAAGCATCGAGGCCGCCAGAGTGAAGCGCACATTACGGAGAACTATTTGAAAGCCATTGAAGACAAGTATGATCTGCTGTATCCGCAGGAAGCTGCGAACGTCATCCGGGTGAAGCCGTCTGATCAGCCAATGGAGGAGCTGATTGTTGACATCCAGGGCCAGCTGCGCAGCGTGTTGAGCAGATGTCCCACCGCGTCCCCTTCGGAGATCGACGAATTCATCAAGTTCTTTCAGGACGTGCGCCCTGAGCCACGGGAGTGAGCCTGCAAAGTTGCCTGCAGGTATGCCGATAGTAGGGCCTTTTACTTAGGGACTGGGGTGGGTAACCTGTAACCTTTGTGGTTATATGGAATCCTACCATATGTAAAAGGGGAGCCTTTTTTTGGGGCTAGGGATTCAGCCCCTGAGTTTAGCACTGAGAGTCATAGTCGGGGTTGGTTTCCGTGTTGTAGGGTTTAGTTAGGGAGGGGTATGGGGTTCTTAAACCCTATAACCCAATAACCCTATCATATTACATTCTTATAACCCTATAACCCTATAAACCCTATAACCCTATAAACCCTAAACCCTGTAACCCTACAACCCTACAATGCCACAAAACCCTCAGGTAGGGAAGCAGGCATCTTCCGAGCTGTGTGGCGACCCGAACGAGTCAAACGAACTCCGGGGTCACGCGCTGACGCAAGTGCCAAGTAATGCTTGGCAGTCCGAGGTGATTTTGGGGTCGGAATAGTTACTGATCATATTCCCTTAGGGCCCCTTGATCTCTTTACAAAATTACCCCCCCCCCCTCCCAAACCCTACCATAATTATTCGGGCCCCTACATGAGGCCCCCCCGAAACCCTAAACAATCGCCGTTAGGGATTAGGGCTTCGGGTTGTGGGTTGTGGGTTTAGGGTTTAAGATGGGTCCGTCGGTCCCTAAACCCTAAACCCTAAACCCTAAACCCTAAACCCTAAACCCTAAACCCTAAACCCTAAACCCTATGCACGTTTTGGAAGCCAAAGTTCCAGCGGTGTTGGGATCTCCTTTACTCATCGCTGCTTCCACCGCCAAGCGTGCGGCATTCAAAAGTGCTTGGTTCGCGAGTATCGGCTGAGTCGTCGTGATTCTCTAAATGATGTCCTGCTTTGGGCACCCGAAGCCCGAATCATCCTTAAACCTGCACACAAAGCCTCCGTACTGCAACAGGAATCCCACGAAGGACGAACCTTTAGGGAGAACAGACCATTTGCTCACCACTCAGCAGACCCTAAATCCATAAACCTTACGACCCCCTCATTCCTACACCCACAAGCCCATAAAATCCCCTAAGCCCTGACAAGCTCCCCTCAACCCTAAACCTTAAGTTTTGAGTTGTTGCAGTTCAGTGTTGATGGTCTAGCATACCTCAACCCTAGAACCAAGCCCAACAAGCACTGATTAGACATCAGGGAAGTTTGGCTGATGGAGCGATGTGAGTGTCTTGAACCTTGTAGCCGAAGCCGCCTCAACCCTAAACCTGCAACTCTCGACCCAAAACCCTAAACCCTCAGTCCCAATTTGCCCAAAGCATCCCCACAAGGCATCATGCGGGCATTTTGCAGGACCCCTTGTAAGTTGCCAATACCGACCTCTTATGATCCTTGTGCAAGTACGATACAAACTGCTCATATTCCAATTCAGAACTCACCGGCGTAGGGATCGGTACTAACCCCCGCTATACCAGCCCCCCTAGGTTGCCCTCTTAACTTCAATACGGCTTACTCATGGGGGAACCTACGGGGGGTAGTATAGAAGGTAGTAGGGGAACCCATGAAGATGTTTGCGGGTATCCAACAAAAGGTCATATCGGATGCCGGCTTCGAGTTCGGCGTGGCCACTGCCGTGTGGCGCTACCCTAAACCCTAAACCCTAAACCCTAAACCCTAAACCCTAAACCCTAAACCCTAAACCCTAAACCCTAAACCCTAAACCCTAAACCCTAAACCCTAAACCCTAAACCCTAAACCCTAAACCCTAAACCCTAAGCCCTAAACCAAGCTGCCTTGCTCGCGGCGTGCTGAGCTGCTGTTTTCCACGACACCGAGCCCCTTGGCTTTGTGTGTCATTGTTCGATACTTGGAGGTTCATGGTACTGACTAACCAATTGCAGCTACTTAAGGGGCTGATAGGTGGGTTCTTAGTACAGTTACCATTGGTTTATAAGTGCTTGGAGGTTCATGGTACTGATGAACCAATGACAACAGTACTTATAGCTGTACTTATAACCATATTAGGGCCCTTTAGGGGCGTATAGGTTGGTTATAAGTACAGCTACCATTAATACATAAGTATCCTGGACCTCCAAGCAGTTTGTAGCGTGTTTTATGGTGTAAAGCTTTGCGGGGCGGAAGCCCGTAGATCGGAAGGCACGAGCACCGCTTAGCTGCAGCGCGCATCTCTGTGAGTACCTCACTTTGAACATGGACCATTTTGGGTTAAAGGTTTAGGGGTTCCGCTAAGGCTCTGATATGGCAGTTGCTCGAATTGCCGGACCCCAACAGAACGTTAAGGTAGGCTCCACTATTTGTAAGGGTTTCCCTTTCAAGGGACTTCTTTTTTTGGCTCAATTTAGCACTGCCCGTCTCCATGAGGAAGTTTCTCAAGGTTTACGGTTTAGGGTTTTAGGGTTAGCCTCTAAACCCTAAACCCGAACACAAGAACCCTCTAAACCCTAGACTCGAAACACTCCATGGTCCCCGAAGCCCGAGATCCCTAAAGTCGAAGCTGTGCATGCTCTAGGACCCTGGCCCTGATTCCGCATTTTTGGGGCTTTGGGTTTAGGGTTTAGGGTTTAGGGTTGAGGGTTTAGGGTTTAGGGTTTTGGGTTTAGGGCCTTAGGGCTACTGTAGGACTCAGAGTAGGCCCTTGTCCTTTTTTGTGCTTAGGTTCCCCTATAAGCCCCTTTAAATCCGAAAGGGCCCAGGTTACTCCTGCATCAAGTGCTGCGGTTGGCTCCAGCAGAGTCAGACGGCAGCCACACACACAAAGCAGCCCTAAACCCTTGTAGTTGGGATGTTGCCCCTTCTGCTAACAGTCCTTCATAGGGATGATCATATAATAGGGGGTACTATAACCCCTATTCAGGGCTGCTAGTATAAGGTACTATAATCCCTATTAAGGTCTGCTAGTATAAGGTACGATAATCCCTATAAAGGGCTGCTAGTATCAGGGGGAACATTTCAACGTATGAGCCCTAGGCTCCAAAAAATCTCCAGCAGCCGCAGACGAAAAGCCTAAAAACTTTGCCCTAATCCCTGTGTTGGGCCTCACCCTAAACCCTAAACCCTAAGCCCTAAGCCCTAAGCCCTAAACCCTAAACCCGAAATCCTCAGGCCCAAGCCCGAAACCCTGAACTCCCCAACCCTTAGCCTTAACTTGTGAACCCTCAAGCCCCCCATCCCTGTAAGCTAGGAACCCTGCACTCCGAACCCGAGAGTCCCCAACCCTAAGCCCTCAAAACTTACATAAAATCTCAAACTGAAAACATGCCCAACCGCAAACTTAGAATCCAATCCTCGATCCCAAGATTCCACACTCCTGAGCCCGAAGACCTAAAATCAAGATCCCAACCCTAAGCACCAAAATCCTGAGATCCACCCTAATCCGAGTTCAGGGCTGAGGGTTTTGGGGTTTAGGGTTTAGGGTTTAGGGTTCTAACCCCACCCGAAAGCACACTCAGCCACATGGTTGCGCGGGCTGCGCGGGCGAAGGTCCCAGGCAGACGCGGCAAAGTGCGCCGGAAGGCAGTCAAGCCACCTGGATCTCAAGCAAGGGTTCAGGGTTTAGGGTTTAGGGTTTAGGGTTTAGGGTTTAGGGTTTAGGGTTTAGGGTTTAGGGTTTGGGGTTTAGGTTTAGGGTTTAGGGTTTAGAGTGATCCAGTAGAAGGCTGGCAGGTAGTCAAAAGTAGGGTTACTCTCGAGTGTCGGAGATGCAGTAAGGTCCCTTTTTGAAGTAGGGTTTATATTTCTTGTTGGTGAGTGTATATAAGGTTCCTTTTAATATTGGTGAGTGTATATACCTGGTGTCCTTTTGGGGGTACAAGAAGTATGTACCCTACTTCATATAATGAAGCTAGAATAAATCCCCCCAAAGCCCTATTCTAGTTCAGTGGGCCCCTATATTGTGCAATTTTTTGTGTACCTTCAATTGCCCTCAATCCTAAACATCCTTAGCCCCCAAGACAGCTGCCAACCTGAGCTAAAACACTCTGCATTCTTAAACCCCAAGCCCTGAACCCTAAACCCTGAAACTTGAACCTACAATTGCAAAGGGCACCTTAAAACCCTAAACCCTAAACCCAAAACCCCAAACCCTAAACCCTAAACCCCAAACCCTAAACCCTAAACACTAAACCCCAAACCCTAAACTCAGGGCCTAGGCCGCCCCCCTACAGAGGGGGGGCGGCGCTTAAGCCCTTCGACCTCTATGGCGAAGGTCGACCCAGGTCGCTTGCCCGCCTCCTGCAGCCAGGAGGTCGGTAGCACCCACGATGGGCCCGGTACCGAAGCAGGTTCTCCCCAAAACCCTTCACCTGGATGGCGCTGGCATTTCGGGGGGGGGTACCCCAAGGCCCCCAGGCCAGGAGGACCCGGACCCCTCACCGCAGCGTGTCCAGGGACCAGGGGGCCTCAGGCCAGGCCAGGCAGGGCGGGTACTCAAAAAAGCTGTTTTGTCCCCCCTTCACCCCTTCCTGGGCCCCCCTGAACCGCCCTGGGGCCCCTGGCTTTCTTTGGGCCCTTCTGGAATTGGGCCCCTGCCTCGCCTCACTGAGCCCTTGCCTTTTCCTCTGCGCCTCCTTAACTGGGCCGCTCTGGGCCCCTCTGCCGGGCGCTTGTTTTTTGTGAAAAGCCGTGACGGAATGAAGAAGTTTTATGTAAAGAAAGCAGTTGGCTTGAGTTTAGGCCTAAACCCTAAAAGGAATAGGTTTGGGTGGCTTTGCTGCCTTGGACGGCGTGGGGTGGGAGAAAAGTGTTAGATGGCCTTCCACAATCGGGCCAAAGCTGCTCTTCGCACCTCACGACGCTTTCGAGCTTGTTCCAAAACCTAACCTTCACAGCATCTACGCCCTATCACAGCAAACCCTAAACCCCAAACACTAAACCCCAAACCCTAAACCCTAACCCTAAACCCTAAACCCTAAACCCTAAACCCTAAACCCTAAACCTGTATGGCCAACTTCATCTTCAGGTCGCGTGAAGGACGGCGGAAGGATCCGCAGGCTGGGGGATGCTTTGGAGGGGGGGGGGGTTTAGGGTTTAGGGTTTAGGGTTTAGGGTTTAGGGTTTAGGGTTTAGGGTTTAGGGTTTAGGGTTTAGGGTAGGGTCTTTCTTGTTTGGTTTGACGAGCTTTTTTCAGACTTCTTGTGTCGCGGTTGTGCGGGCTTTAGGGGTTTGTAGTGTGTTTGGGGTCCTAGGTTTTTAGGCTTCAGGGCTTTAAGGACTTAGGGCCTGGGGTGTTCGGGACAGTTTCGGGAGGTATTTCTCTCAAGCCCTAAACCTTGAGCCCCATAAGTATCTTTTAAGTAGCACATCTATATGGAAACTGCTACAAGATACAACCCTAAATCCTAAGCCCTAAGCCTTAAACACCCAAAACACCCCCCTAAACCCTAAACCCTAAACCCCACACTCTGGTACACGGGAACCGGCTGCTTTCCTGGAAGCCAGGAGGGCGCTGGTGTTCCGGGAGGCCTAGGCAGGGAGCATAGCTAGACCCGAGACCCTACATCCTCAACCCTAGGCTAGGGTTTAGGGTTTAGGGTTTCGGGTTTAGGGTTCAGGGTATAGGGTTTAGGGTTTAGGGTTTCGGGTTTAGGGTTTAGGGTTTAGGGTTTAGGGTTCACTCTGAACCCTGAACCCTAGACCCCTCCTCCTAAATGTAGTGCTATGTAGTGCTGTTGGCTTCGGGAGGATGTTTTAGCTTTGGCTTCAAGGCTTAGCGCTGTAGAGGGGTTTAGGGCTTAGGGTTTAGGGTTTAGGGTTTAGGGTTCAGGGTTTAGGGTTTAGGGTTTAGGGTTTAGGGTTCGGTTACAGGGGTTGCAGGGGTCCATGTCAAGGTGTCAGGGTTTGGGGTTTCATTTTTGCGGCTTCGGCGGTTTCAGGGCTCGCAGAATTGCCTAGGGCCCAAAGACCCTATCCCCTAATCCCTAATCCCTAAACCCTAAACCCTAAACCCTAAAGCCCTGAGTCCTTGACAGTGTTTAGTCTAGGGTTGAAGGCTTAGTGTCCCTGAACGTCCCCCAACTTCTTAACCCTAAAGCCTCAACCCTACAACCCTACAACCCGACAACGCGAACACCCCAAACCCTAAACGCCCCTAAGCCCCAAGGCCGAAACACTACAGCCTTACAACCCTACAACCCGAACACCCCAAGCTCTTACCACCCTAAGTCCCATGAAGTCCCTTCGATCCTCCAAGTATTACACCCTGCTTCCCTCAACCCGAAGCCCTAAACCCTATAACCTAAACCCTAAACCCTAAACCCTAAACCCTAAACCCTAAACCCTGGAGACCCTGCGCTTCTCAGGGCTCCCTGGGGGACGCTCAGAACGTGGGCCGCCGGTGGCAACCAAGTCCGGTTGGCTGAGCTGCAGGCGTTTCGGGCAATAGAGGAGCCCTAAACCCTAAACCCTAAACCCTAAACCCTAAACCCTAAACCCTAAACCCTAAACCCTAAACCCTAAACCCTAAACCCTAAACCCTAAACCCTAAACCCTAAACCCTAAACCCTAAACCCTAAACCCTAAACCCTTCCAATCCATTATGACTTAAATATAGACGTGAGCTCAGGGTTGAGGGGTTGGGGGTTAGGGTCTGGAGTTCAGGGGTGTTGTTGGTTTTGAGAGCTTTAGGGGTTTAGTGGTGGCGTCTTAAACCCAAAGCCCTATTGCGGTTGTAGGGCTCATATGCGAGAGGCAACCCTAAACCCTATACCCTATACCCTGTACCCCAAAAGGCCTATCCTACCCTTGTGTCGGGTCCGGAGTAGTTCAGCGGGCGAGAGTATAGGAGAGATCTAAATCCTGAACCCTAAATCCCCGCAACTATAGGCCCACAGCATACTTGAAGGTTCATGGGTAGACACACGTAGGCTTATACCTAAGTTCGCCAGTATGAATGAAAGTACTGACGCATGGCCGCATGAACCTCCAAGTACTGAACCCTAAACCCTAAACACTAAACCCTAAACCCTAAACCCTAAAACCCTAGACCCTGAACCCTAAACCCCAAAACCCTAACCCCTAAACCCTAAAACCCTAAACCTTAAAATCCTAAACCCTAAACCCTAGACCCTAATTCACGTCCGCAGGGTGGCCAACGATGAGTGGCAGACGACCCTGGAGAGTTGGCGATCCGTCGCGCCGCACCCCGGTGTTGGAGCAAGGTTTAGGGGCCCCAAAACCCTAAACCCTAAACCCTAAACCCTAAACCCTAAACCCTAAACCCTAAACCCTAAACCCTGAACCCTAAACCCTAAACCCTAAACCCTAAACCCTAAACCCTACACCTGGTTCGTCTCAGGTATTTCCATGGCTACCGCCGGAAGAGCGCCGCCGGCTGAGCTCTGTGGGGAGTGCGTGGGGTGGGGGCTCGCCCTTGCAGCCAGGCGTGAGCTTGGGGGGGTTTAGGGTTTAGGGTTTAGGGTTAGGTTCCAGGGTATGGGGTTTGGGGTTAGGTAAATAGGCACAAAGAGTTGCCATGAAAATAGTCATTCAAGGCTTCCAGGACTCAGGATAGCCTTATTTCGGGTCTCTTTCGGGTTTTGTGCCGACTTAAACCCTACACCCTAAACCCCAAAGTCCCTAAACTCTAAACCCCTAAACCCCAAACCCTGAACCCTAAACCCTTAAACCCCAAGCCTAAACCCCAAAATCCCCAAACCCGAAGCCCGAAGCCCCAAACCCTAAACCCCAAAATCCCTAAACCCTAAACCCTAAACCCTAAACCCTAAACCCTAAACCCTAAACCCTAAACCCTAAACCCTAAACCCTAAACCCTAAACCCTAAACCCTAAACCCTAAACCCTAAACTCAGGTCTGGATGCCCTTCTACTACGATGGCGCCTGCGCGGGGCACCTCCGCCACCTGCCTGGGAGGGCGTTGTCGGGGTTGTTGGGGCCTTGTGAACCTAAGAGTAGTTTCATCAATCTAGGGTTTAGGGTTTAGGGTTTAGGGTTTAGGGTTTAGGGTTTAGGGTTTGGGGTTTAGGGGGTTGGACCATGAAACTACCCTAAGATCGAAGGTTCTGCTAGGGCTGGCGGGCTTTAGGCTTTGTTGGGGTTGTCGGGGGGGCTTGTGAAGGTTCTGCTCGGGCTTAGGGTGTAGTGGTTTAGGGGTTTAGGGTTTAGGGTTTAGGGTTTAGGGTTTAGGGTTCTTAGGCTGTAGGGCTTCAGGGCTTTAGGGCTCCAGGGCTGTAGGGCTTTAGGGCTTCAGGGCTTTAGGGCTTTCGGGCTTTGGGGCTTTAGGGCACACAGTGCTTTTGGCTTTTCGGGCGGAATGTAGGGCTCTTGGGTCGTTTCTTGCGCTTCCCGGGGCCCCCGGCAATGGTCGTTGGGTCATTAACCCCACCCACCCACCCACCCACCCACCTACCTACCTACCTATATCATTAAATTAAACCAATACAACATGCACACATAATAATGAAAATAAATATAATTTTACACATAAAGGAAAAAATATATATATATATATATACATATATAGATAGAGACTGCGTTCAGAGTCCCCCCCCCCGATTTACGGTTAATGGATTAGAGTTCTCAGTTCCTGACTGAAGGCATTCTTCTTTGGATCCCGGTTCCCTCAAAGCAGTCGCAGCCCCTGGTGAATACAAAGCCCCAAGCCCTGAACTCGAAGCCGGAGTTGGGGTTTAAGGTCCAGGGTCTAGGGTCTAGGGTCTAGGGTTTAGGGTTTAGGGTTTAGGGTTTAGGGCTTAGGGTTTAGGGTTTCGGAAGATTGAAGTTTTTAGCATCAACCCACGCAAACCAGGCCCCCAGCTGGAGCCCAGGTTCTTTGGGCTTCGAGAAGGTGATCCACGAGCAGGAGGACTTCTTCCAGCGCCGCCTGGTCGGGAAAGAGCTTAGGTGTTAGGGTTTTAGGGTTTTAGGTTTTAGGGTTTAGGGTTTTAGGGTTTTAGGTTTTAGGGTTTAGGGTTCAGGGTTTAGGTTTTAGGTTTTAGGGTTCAGGGTTTAGGGTTTAGGGTTCAGGGTTTAGGGTTTAGGGTTCAGGGTTTAGGGTTGAGGCTCTGACGAGCTTGAGCCGTCTGAAGATCCCAAAGCCCCAATCCCTAAACCCAAGTTGCCATGCACTTTTCCGAAGTCCCTGACTATGCTCCTCCCCACCTCTCCCCCCCAAACTAGGGTTCATGGTGGGTTTCTAGTGAAGGGTTTCGGGTCCCGTTTAGGGTCCCCCCTCCCCCCCTATGGTTCATGGGCTGTGGTTCCTGGCGGTTTCGAGGTTTAGGGTTTGACGTTAGGCTGTGGGGTTTGGGGATTTCACTTTGCCCGCCGTGGTCCATCGTGGCTTCATGGTTTAGTGTTTAGGGTTTAGCTGGCCCCGCGGTGTTCAGTTCGGGCTTCCCCGCTCGCCCTGCGGTTCGTGGGGGTTTAGGGTTTAGGGTTCAGGGTTCAGGGTTTCGGCTTAGGTTTCAGGACTAGGGTTTCCCCCCTCACCCCATGGGTCGTGGCGGGTTTAGGACTAACAGTCCGGGTTGGGGTGGGTACCATGGGGGGGAATACGCGTGCGGATATAAACCTCAAGCCCTTTATAAGAGTCCTACTCACACTGTTTGTAAGAGGCTTATGTACACTGCAACTACCGTAACTGCGCACTTGCAAACCGTCCGTCAATGGCTACCCGGAATCTGGGTGGCAACTCGGACGTGCGGTCGAACTCCGCGGAGCACTTGTGCTCTTTAAGCCAGCGTTCAATTGGCCTGTTCACCTGTTGGGCAGTTTGCCCCATATGCCCCTAAACCCTAAACCCTAAACCCTAAACCAGAACCCTAAACCCGAAACCTAAACCCTGAACCCTAAACCCTAAACCCTAAACCCTAAACCCTAAGCCCAGGTGTGAAGGACAAGAGCTTCCTGAACCGCGCCTTGGCGTCAAGGCGGTGCCACCCAAGACATGACACGACACCAAGTCCTGCACCCCAAACTTCGGTTTAGGGTTTCGGGTTTAGGGTTTAGGGTATCCCAAATCCTCGGCCCCTAGACCTTAAGCCCAAAGTCCTACAAAACCCCTCAACCTCCCTAGTCTCTCCGCCCCCCCCCCCCGCCCCGCCCCCCCCGAATCATTTAAGGCCAGAAGCTTTCCACCCATGACCCCATAAAGTCCTCAACGAACCCGAAACCCCAAACCCCTTCGGGTTTTAGGGTTTAGGGTTAGGGAGTTCACACATTCGTATATCCCTTATCTAACCATTGGTGCCCTTGTATACCCCCAGTGGCTGAGTAGGTAGCCTTGGTCTAGGCTTTGGGGGTCTTGTTGGGATGAGGGGTGTAGCGATGTAGAATCCTTTTCGGGTTCAGCGTGTAACGGTTTGCGCGCTGAGCGTGTGTGTAAAGGCTTCGTTACGGGTTTTACGTTTTGGGCTTAAGGAGTTTTTAGGGCTTACGGGTTTCTGGCCTGGTTTTATAAGCCCTCCTTCAATGACACAATCTGCACCGCAGCCCTTCTAAAACCCGAAGCCCTGAACCCTAAACCCTAAACCCGAACCCTAAACCCTAAACCCTAAACCCTAAACCCTAAATAAACCCTCAAGCCACACCCCTAAGAGGCCCAAACCCCATCGTCCAACTTGACTTAGGGGGGTTCAGCATTCTAGCTAGGTAGGTCTTTGGGATATTTTATATTTTCCCTTATTGGGTTTAAGAGGATCCTCTTCAGGAATATTTTTCGGAGGGTTTTAAGGGCCATCCTAGCTAGGTTCCCTTGTAAATCCCGTTAAGGAAAAACGGGGCATCTTTTATTCCCTCTGCCCGAAGCCTTGGACCCTCAAAGGCGTGGACCTGATCTGGGACAACCCACCATACACCGCGCCGGAGATGAAGGCATGGCTGTTCGGTATGCTTTCGCCGTAGCTGCTGGTAATAGCCACTTTGTGTGCTGTACAAGCGAGTAATGAACTCTGCTTTTCAATCTACTGAGAAAACCCTAAACTCCAAAACCCTAAATCCTGAAACCCTAAACCTTAAACCTTAAAACCCAAAACCCTAAAGCCCTAGAACCCTCAATCTCGAAACCCTAAACCCTAAATCCTGAAACCCTAGACCCTAAACCCCGAAGCCCTAAACCCTAAACCCTAAATCCTAAACCCTCTTACACCATGAATCCAGAAACCCGATGAGACACCAAGCCTCCGCTCACCAAGCCCGTTAGGGTTTAGGGTTGAGGGTTTAGGGTTTAGGGTTTAGAGTTTAGGGTTTAGGGCTAGGAGCAGTTTCCGAGATAGGGTACCCCAATATGCACCCAAAACGCTATAAACCGTATTCAGGGAAGCTGTCAAAAGGGTATATATGTCTATTGAGGGAACCTCCTATATGCTGCTCAGCTCTTTTGCCTGATAATCCCAAATTACCTTCACGACCTTGTGTGTGTGTGTGTGTGTGTTGTGTGTGCAGGTGTGGATATCTGTGTATGTTGACGTATACATAAATAACGGAGAGAGCGAGAGAGAGCGGGAGGCAGAGAGAGGGAGAGAGAGAGAGAGAGATAGAGAAGAGGGGAGGTCGCAATTTTTGGCTCCACCCTTGCTGCGTCCAGCTTTAGCTGTGTTTGCAGACACCTTGTTGTGCCACAGTAATATACTTTCTTCGCTCTAGGCGGTCCGATTGAGAAGCGCACGAAGGGTTATCCCGTGAAAGCCCAGAGCCGCAGAGGTGACCTCAAAAGCACTGCACGGTTCGATATGATCATGTACATGGATAAGTCCCAAAATAGGGGGTACCCCTTTTCATACCCCAAATAGAATTAGAATCCCCTTAAAAAAAGACCCCCATACAAGGGTACCCCTAGGTTCGGAAACCCCCACATCGTTCGTGCTGAAGTGATCAGCAAGCAGGCACAGCAGCTCTTGCTCGGTCCTCCAGCATGGCTCGAGTGATGGTCCTGGGTGGTTACGGCGGCACAGGTCGCCCCGTGTCGCATCGCCTCGTCGAAGAGCTGGCTTGCGAAGTGGTCGTCGCCGGCCGCGACCTCGAACGTGCTCAAGCGTTCGCGGATGTGCTCGCAAAGTAGCTCAGTAGCTGAGTGAGTGCACTTTACACCTTTTTGGGATCTTATAATCTCTCCAAAACTGAAAGTGTACACTTTTGGGGGCTTATGAACTCAGCAACTAAGGCAGTTCCCAGGCCGGAAGGTAAGTGGAGTTCGCGTCGACGCAACCGATGCGACGTCCCTGAAAGCGGCGCTCCAGTCCGTCGATCTGCTCATTGTCACGACGACAACCCCAGATGCGATGCCATCCATCGTGCAAGCTGCACTCGCGACGAACACCGACACCATCGACGTGATGTTCAAATCAGACGTGTACGACCGCCTCGCCGAGATGCAGTCTGAGATCCTTGCTGCTGGGCGCTTGGTGGTGACCCAGGCCGGATGTCACCCGGGCCTTGTGGCACCCTTGGTCAAATACGCCTCGCAGAACCTCATCCGGGTGCAGTCCGCACGTGTCTTCATGGCTTTCGGCTCCGCCTTTGACAGCCCCGCCTCAGCGCGAGAGCTGATCGAGGAATGCGCGATCTCCTCGGCGCGGGTGCTCGAGGGGGGCATGTGGCGCGACGCGACATACAAGGACACTTAGACCCGAAACCCGAAACCCGAAGCCCTAAGCCCTAAACCCTAAACCCTAAACCCTAAACCCTAAACCCTAAACCCTAAACCCCAAACTACAAGGACACTGCTCAGGGCACTTTTGGATGCAGCTTCGGCGACCAGGAGTGCTACCCCCTCCGCATGCTGGAGCTCGAGGCTCTGGACGCTGACAGCCTCGGCCTCCGGGATGCGGGATCCTATGCTGCAGGCTGAGATGTTCTGTTTCGGGTTTAGGGTTTAGGGTTTAGGGTTTAGGGTTTAGGGTTTAGGGTTTAGGGTTTAGGGTTTAGGGTTTAGGGTTTAGGGTTGAGAGTTTAGGGTTTAGAGGGATTAGTACCCCCTATTGTAATCCCTGCAGGCTTCAACTGGTTTGTTGACTACATGGTTCTGCCACTGGCCATGATGCTTGGGCGACGGGGCGTGGGCTGCCTGACGGGCCTCTTCAATTGGGGCGTGCGCCGCTTCGGCGCCCGCGGTGAGGGTGTGGTCTTCCGTGCGGAGGTGGAGGGCACGCCGGCAAGGGCCACAGAGGAATCGCAAGGGCAAGGCCCGCGCCGCGCAGTCGTCACCGTGACCAGCCCTGATGCGTACGATTTCACCGCCGCCGCGGTGGTCTCGTGTGTGGCGCAGGTGTTGGACGGCTCCATCAAGCGCCCGGGGTTTCATCTCATGGGTTCGGTCGTGGACCCTGACCGCACACTTAGGGATGTTCAGCGCATGGGTGCCACTCTGTCTTGGGAAGACTCATGAGGGCGCTGTTCGGGATCTCAGGGCATAATTAGAACATCGTTTCGGGGGTGATCATGGTACATGGACCATGAAGGGAGTACTAGTAGTAAGTATTCCGAGCCCTATATCATTTGGAATGTTGTTGCAATGGAGGCCCTGAACAGCCACTTGGGATGTTTCCCGGAATACTACCTGTGGATTATAATAAGGGGTACTATAATCCGAAAGTCAGGAGGGAACCTCTCGACAGACTACCATCTCGAACGGCCCCGCAGTGTTTTGCCGCACTGCGGCGCTGCCGAGCTTCTTCGGACAGAGCAGTGGGGCCATGAGGTCCAGGGTTTAGGGTTCAGGGTTTAGGGTTCAGGGTTTAGGGTTTAGGGTTTAGCACAGAGCCTTCGTGGCCCAGTGGTACCCCTGTTTCAATATGGTTACTGGGCTATCAAGAGGCTGAGCACGTGTGGTCGCTGGGTGCCACAGATTTTCTCACACCTACAGTGCTTTGGAGCATCCCACGTGCTTATGCGGCATCCTAATTACACGGCGTTTGCCCTAATCCCCAACCCTAAATCCTAAACCCTAGCCCTAAACCCTAAACCCTAAACCCTAAACCCTAAACCCTAAACCCTAAACCCTAAACCCTAAACCCTAAACCCTAAACCCTAAACCCTAAACCCTAAACCCTAAACCCTAAACCCTAAACCCTAAACCCTAACCCTACACCCTAAACCCTAAACCCTAAACCCTAAACCCTAAACCCTAAACCCTAAACCCTAAACCCTAAACCCTAAACCCTAAACCCTAAACCCTAAACCCTAAACCCTAAACCCTAGACCCCAATCTCAATCCCCAGAGGGCCCAGTGACATACAGTGCTCCTGCTGCAGCTTGGCGTGACACCATACCGTCTGAGCCGAAATGATACCTCGGTTCAACTGTTTCGTCATGAGTGTTTAGGGTTTAGAGTTTAGGGTTTAGGGTTTAGGGTTCAGGGTTTCGGGTAAGGGTTTGGGTACTACCATGTATTCTTGGGAGCTCCCTTCTGCGCATTTTAAGTCAAAGCAGGCCTAGGGCATATTCCTAAACCCCAACCCCTTGACGAGTGAACTCTAAGCTCTAAAACCCTGTACCTGCATAGGGTTTGGGATCAGGATTTGGGATTTTGGGGTTTTAGGGTTGCGTTCCTTGGGTGAACGGAGGGTCCACTGAGGAGGGCGTTCACATAACGTTTAGGGTTTAGGGTTCAGGGCTTAGGGCTTAGGGTTTATTCGGAAAAAAGGTCATTATTTCGGCACGGCGGTGTTGCTCTCAACAACACGAGGGCCCCGCCGACGGTGGTACACAGCAGCTGCTTAGCCCGGCATGCAACCCGCTTCTTGCGTTGCCATGACAGCGTCTCCGAGTTTTTACCGTTCCTTCGAAGTATCCCTGGGCTTCCAGTTGCGTGTGTACCTTAGGTTGCGTTCCTCCAGTACATATCTGTAGATATCTGAAGATAGAAGCCATTTTTTTTCATTTTTCAAATCTCTCTCTCTCTCTCTATGCATGCATAAATATATACACATACACACATACAGATACAGATACACATACACATACACATACACATATGTGTACATGATTTTACACCGGTGTCTGTGTGTATGCCTTGCATTAACGTATTGTTTAGTTTGGTGAGTTTGAAGACCCGAAACCCTGAGCCCTAAAAAGTATTGCTTAATTTCTTGCTCTTTTTTGCCATACCCGCCTTTGTTTGGTCATGCTTGCCTGGCCATGAGATAAAAGCAGCCCCACGTTTAGGGTTTAGGGTTTAGGGTTAGACTATGAAGTTAATGCGCTGCTGTTCAGGGTTTAGAGCTTAAGGGCTTTCGGATTTACGATTCGTCCGGTATTTTCCCCATCTTGGGTTCAACTAAGAGGATCATACTAGGAATAACCCTAGACCCTAGACCCTAAACCCTAAACCCTAGACCCTAAACCCTAAATCCTAAACCCTAAACCCTAAACCCTAAACCTCAGAGGTTTAAAGGCCAAAAACTTAGATGAAGTCGTCAAGAAAGGTGCTTTTTTGCAGTCTTGGCCCTCTGTTCTCCTTTGTCTGGGGCATCTTCGGCCCCCTCCAAGTTGTATACTTGGGTTTAGGGTTTAGGGTTTAGGGTTTAGGGTTTAGGGTTTAGGGTTTAGGGTTTAGGGTTTAGGGTTTAGGGTTTAGTGCACGAAGTTAGGGTCCCCTTTTGGGTACCCTAAACAAGAGGGGCCGCCTTGTAATAAGGATTTCAAAGGGGACCAAATTTTTAGGGAAGGGACCATCTCTCGTTCATTTGGTTAAGGTAGACGGCAGAGCAAGATGGATGCTTGCGTGTGAGAAAAGGCTTGTTGTGTACAGACACACACACACACACGCACACGCACATGTGGGTTGACATGGGGAGAGGTTGTGTAGACACACGTGCAGACGTAGACATGCGCCGTTCCGAGATTAGAGTCGAAAAGTACGCATACGTACGCAGGTACACAGACAG